GAGAACTGTCAGCCACTTTGGGATATGCTTGACATGCAAAAACAGGTTTCCTGTCAGCCCCCACACAAGGGAGGAAGCGAGTGCATAAAACACGCACAATTGGGCAGAGGTGGCCCATTATTCTTATATATATGATAGGAGTGATGGATGCCGTTAGCACTATATAAAGCTATTGAGTTTCTTTTTTTTTTTTTTTTAACTTTTTTAAACATTGTGCATATATATATATATATATATATATATATATATATATATATATATATATATATATATATATATATATATATATATATATATATATAGATATACTCCTACTATGAAAGACCATTTTCCACGTCTGCAGGCGTGTTGGGCATATAGGGCTAGACCTATAGTTTATTGACCAATTGGCAATCGGTGGGTGATGTGGTCGATATCACACTGTCCATCCTTTACTTCCCAACACGGTACCTGGACTTCTCACTTGATTTTTCTTTGCCCCCACCTCCGCCACAATCTTCAGTATGTCCCCCAAACTGGGGCGACCGATAACACCAGTTCTACAATGGCTTACTGTTCTTCTTTGACTACCTTATAGTTTTCATGTCCGGCAACATCTTTTTGAAAAGAAGGCCATGTCGTCGTCTTGTCAACGTGGCCGATTCACCCTCTTCTCCTGAATCATCAACTCAAAATCAAAATATGAAACCAAACCGCCAGAATGACACAGCCGCGGGGTTATTATTCCATGTGTCAACCCCAAACGGAGCATAGGACATACAATTTAGCTCAAGTCGTCCTATTTAGTGCTTTTGCATGCAATTCACTTCACATTTCTCCTGGTCTTATTTATTTGGGTCTCTAATTTTTTAGGGCTGCAAGTCCCAGAAACTCCTTTCAACCGTTAGGTTGTATTAACCCCCCCCCCCCCCCACCCCATCCCCCTCCCCTCATAATTTTTTAAGGAAGCCAAGTTGGTCGTTTTAACCCACGTAAAGAAGTCAATTTGTTTATACATTTTGGCTTCTGTGGCTTAAGCGCTGCGAAGGCCTTTGGTAATGTCGGGTTCGCTCCCAGCTGTGGACGATTTGTCCTGTGTTGGTTTCGACAGTGGTAGCGAGTGCCGTCCGTTCAATAAACGATGGCAAACTACTGAACGTAATTTGCCTAGAAAAACCACAACAGCCGAAATATTCTGGGTTAGTTCTGCAACGTCCTGTAAAGGATACTCAATTAATGTTTATATACATATTTTTTCAAGTATATCATTATACGTGTTTGCCATTCAGCACAGTATCATCATTATCTTCTTCTTCTTCTTCTTCTTCTTCTTCTTCTTCTTCTTCTTCTTCTTCTTCTTATTATTATTATTATTCCTCCTCTTCTTCTTTTTCTTCTTCTTCTTCTTCTTCTTCTTCTTCTTCTTCTTCTTCTTCTTCTTCTTCTTCTTCTTCTTCTTCTTCTTCTTCTTCTTCTTCCTATCATCTTTTACTGCTTCGGGTGTCGAGGGAGATACAAGGTTCCGTTTCTTTCTCTTCTAGCCGCCTAGATGATAGATAGACAGACCCAGCTGTGGTAAAGTTTCTCTGAGGTTGTCTGTTCATCTTGTTCTTGCTCTACCCTGTACGTCCTTGTCCTCTGTTGGTGTATGCCCTGTATGTTATGACGTCACCTGGCATTTCTCTAAGTGGGAAACAAATTAGATTTTCTGGCTTGGTATGTAATTTAAAACTGGTTCTGTGCCGACTGTTTTCTCTCTTTTTTTTTTTTATCACTTCACTTCCGATTTTATATCTTCTGATCACTCTTGCAGCCTTTCTCATACATATCATTTCTGATCTATAATTCGTCTCTAATTATCTGTTGTTGTTGTTGTTGTTGTTGCTAGTTAGGAAGTATACGACTTTCGTGGCCTCTTCCTTCCCATTCTTTCTTGTCTAAAAATCTGAATTGTATTACTACGTATTTATCTATCTATCTAAAGACTTTTCCTGCAGTATAAAAAATTACAATACATCTTTCCCAGTAAAGACAGGTGTAAGACAGGGATGTGTCATGTCATCTCTCCTCTTCAACCTTGTGATTGATTGGATACTAAAAACACAGTAGACAAGACATTAAAGGCATACGATGGACTCCATTCACCATGCTTAATGACCTTGATTTTGCAGATGATATAGCACTCCTATCACATAAACATGAATATATAGAAGAGAAAAGTAACAGACTACACAGCACAGCAGAAATGGTGGGACTGAAAATAAATTCAAAGAAAACTAAGATCATGACAAGAAGTCCAAACCAACAACCAGTGACCATAAGTAACCAGTCACTTGAAAATGTAGAACATTTCACATATCTTGGCAGTGTAGTGTCCCTACAGGGAGGGACAGAGGAAGACATACAGTCACGTCTGAACAAAGCAAAAGCTGCTTTTGGAAGGATGAGGCAAATCTGGAAATCCAACAGTTAATGCAGAGAAACGAAACTCCGACTCTACAAGAGCATCATTTTGCCAAATCTTCTTTATGGAGCAGACTGCTGGAGAATGACCAAAAAGGATGCACACAAGCTGTCCACCTTCCACCACACATGTCTACGTAGAATTATCAAAATTTTCTGGCCAGATACAATCTCAAACATTAAACTTCTTCAAGTCACAAACCAAGAAACTCTAGACAGTATGATTACTAAGAGAAGATGGAAATGGCTTGGCCAAGTTATGTGAATGACTGCTGATATACCTGCCAAAACAGCTCTCGTATGGATACCATAGGGATAAAGAAAAAAAGGGGCACCCAAAAACAACATGGGGACAAACGATGGAAAGTGACCTGAGTGACTTTGACATGGAAAACTGCACTGAAGATCGCACAGGACAGGAAAGCATGGAAAGTTTTCTCTGAAGCCTCATGTGCCACTAGGCATAAAGAAAACAGATTACTGATTATCTATCTATCTATCTATCTATCTATCTATCTATCTATCTATCTATCTATCTATCTATCTATCTATCTATCTATCTATCTATCTATCTATCTATCTATCTATCTATCTATCTATCTATCTATCTATCTATCTATCTATCTATCTATCTATCTATCTATCTATCTATCTATCTATCTATCTATCTATCTATCTATCTATCTATCTATCTATCTATCTATCTATCTATCTATCTATCTATCTATCTATCTATCTATCTATCTATCTATCTGTCTGTCTGTCTGTCTGTCTGTCTGTCTGTCTGTCTGTCTGTCTGTCTGTCTGTCTGTCTGTCTGTCTGTCTGTCTGTCTGTCTGTCTGTCTGTCTGTCTATCTATCTATCTATATGTCCGTCCGTCCGTCCGTCCGTCCGTCTGTCTGTCTGTCTGTCTGTCTGTCTGTCTGTCTGTCTGTCTGTCTGTCTGTCTGTCTGTCTGTCTGTCTGTCTGTCTGTCTGTCTGTCTGTCTGTCTGTCTGTCTGTCTGTCTGTCTGTCCGTCCGGTCTGTCTGTCTGTCTGTCTGTCTGTCCGTCCGGTCTGTCTGTCTGTCTGTCTGTCTGTCTGTCTGTCTGTCTGTCTGTCTGTCTGTCTGTCTGTCTGTCTGTCTGTCTGTCTGTCTGTCTGTCTGTCTGTCTGTCTGTCTGTCCGTCCGTCCTTCTGTCTGTCTGTCTGTCTGTCTGTCTGTCTGTCTGTATATATGTGTGTGTGTGTGTGTCTAGAAAGAGAGAGTCAGAGAGAAATGGGTAATTGTTTAGTGGCTAAACACTCCAGCCGATCGCAAGGTCATGGGTAAAGGTCCTAACGGAGTCGGCCTCCTTAACCTGCTCCCCCCCCCCCCCCCCCGACCTCCCCAAAAGTAACCTTGGCTGCCAGGTCAGCCTAACCTCAAATGTGTACCAGGTACAGTTCTAGGAAGCAAAGGCAACCGGCGTGATACTACTACACCGCCAACCGAGTGCCGATTAGTCTACAACTCATAGGTATAGTTCTATATGCTCAACACGTCTGAGGGCCTGAATAAGGGTCCTTACTTTAGTATAACCCTCTGGAGACGACGTGGACGAAATATCGACCCGACACAAAGTAGCTAAAAGGACGGCTGGGCCGATCGGTCAACCCCATGTAATACAAGCCTTATGATTGGCTGGCAGATTTTCGCACCAGCCAGTCAGATTGCTTATTGCCTTTCTTGCACATGTGGGCTGTTCATTAATGGCTTTCGAGAAATAATTTTTTTTTTAATTCAATTTATTACTTTCCGTCCTTTTCAGGATGAAATTTTTCTTTATTTGAAGCCCCACTCTGGCTCTTGCCAGGGGCCGCAATATAGCCTGGCCATAAATATGGCCTAAAGGCTGAACGCGGTTTCTGGGACCTCTCCACGGTGATCCTCACCCACATGGTGGCACATTGTGTCATCGGGTGTTTATCGCTTGTGTGATGTCCTGGTGGGGTAGAAAGTCAGTCAGTCAGTCAACTATTTTTTTTTCTGTGGTTACCTGACCCAACAATGGCGAAAAAGACTGTTTCGTCATAGCAACCGAAATATATCTGGAGGCAGGAAAATTAGTAAAACCATGTGTCAGAAGGACCCAAAGGGCCTTACTTCCCAAAACACAAGTGTTAGGATTTATTCAAGTTTCATCTTCTTTAAAAAAAATGCACCCACATTGTTAAGTTTAGTTATGTTTGTTCGCAACTTAAAAAAAAAAATGCTTGCATAAACTATGCAAATCAGAATAGTTAATTTGAATAAATGTTGAGATTTCAGTTTGAATCTAAATATTCTGGTATCTTATTCAATTTCTAACACGAATATATAGTTTTCCAGATGTTAATTAAAAATTTCCAGATGTTAATTAAACACTTTATTTGTTATGATTTTAGGGTGTGTATAAACTATGAGAATCCCCTCCTGAAAGCTTCGTCTTTTGGCACTGAATCTCCAAAAAGGCTCCGTCTCCAGAGGGTTAAATATATATGCAAGAAGATTATTATAAAGTCTAGCTAATAAGAGTGTCTATATATTTTCAACAGGCTTCCACCTGTATGACAAACTGCCTCACATCTTTCCCGAAAGCTGCCTTCTAATAATACTGGGCATCGTCGTGGGCATGACGCTGTTCTATACGGAGACGGCGAGCATGCAACAGTACACGCTGGATGCGAACACGTTCTTCTTGTTTCTGCTGCCTCCGATCGTCTTCGATGCTGGGTACAACATCCCAAACAGGCCCTTGTTCAACAATATAGGAACCATCCTGACATTTGCTGTCGTCAACACGCTTTGGAACACTTTTGGGATAGGTGAGTACTGGGTTTGGTTCTGTACTGTGAAACACGATTGGAATAAATGAGGTCAAAGGTTGTTTTTGTACTTTGAAACACTTTTGTGATTGGTGGGCCCGAGTTCGTTTGTGAACGATGAAACGCTTTTTTTTTTTTTTACTGTGAAACACTTTTGGGATACCTAAGTTGAAAATGTGTTTTTGCACTGTGAAAAACTTGGAATAAGTCCAATATTTGTTTTTGTATTTTGTTGTTAGTGTATCATAGTATTTCAAAATTGCTGGACTTCTCACTTGATTTTTCTTTGCCCCCACCTCCGCCACAATCTTCAGTATGTCCCCCAAACTGGGGCGACCGATAACACCAGTTCTACAATGGCTTACTGTTCTTCTTTGACTACCTTATAGTTTTCATGTCCGGCAACATATTTTTGAAAAGAAGGCCATGTCGTCGTCTTGTCAACGTGGCCGATTCACCCTCTTCCCCTGAATCATCAACTCGTCCTGCCTCCCTGAAGGCACTGAGATCATCGGTTCTGACCTTTGCTTTTCCTGTGTCTACTGTGACCTTGCCAGCAAGCCAATCCGCTCGTTTATTCCCTCTTACTCCAGAATATCCTGGCACACAAATTAAACTGATTTGAGTTTAGCATTCTTTGTCATATACGCTACTCAATGAACGAACGAAAAGATTTTTTTTTTTAAAGGGTTAAGAACTGACTTGCAGGCTCGTCTAACATTTGAACCTTTGTGATAACTGGCCATTTATGAAAATAAATGACCCCCTTTTCACGTCGTCAGGCGCATGGGTCATTTAGATCAATCGATGTCTCAGTGCCTCCCTGAAGGCACTGAGATCATCGGTTCTGACCTTTGCTTTTCCTGTGTCTACTGTGACCTTGCCAGCAAGCCAATCCGCTCGTTTATTCCCTCTTACTCCAGAATGTCCTGGCACACAAATTAAACTGATTTGAGTTTAGCATTCTTTGTCATATACGCTACTCAATGAACGAACGAAAAGATTTTTTTTTTTAAAGGGTTAAGAACTGACTTGCAGGCTCGTCTAACATTTGAACCTTTGTGATAACTGGCCATTTATGAAAATAAATGACCCCCTTTTCACGTCGTCAGGCGCATGGGTCATTTAGATCAATCGATGTCTCAGTGCATCCTTTTCGGGCTTCAACGTAAATTTATAGTCTACAATTCTGACGGCTCACCAACAAGGCAGATCGCAGAATACCTTGTTTAACCTCCAAAGAAGGACACCCGTAAAGGACAACCGCCAAAGAAGGACACCCGTAAAGGACAACCTCCAAAGAAGGACAACCGTAAAGGACAAATTCCAAAGAAGGGCATCCGTAAAGGACAACCTCCAAAGAAGGGCATCCGTAAAATACAACCTCCAAAGAAGGGCATCCGTAAAATACAACCTCCAAAGAAGGGCATCCGTAAAATACAACCTCCAAAGAGGCGACCCGTAAATTTTTAACATCCGTCCAATGAATACAACAGCTCGGCGAAATCTAGGACGCCCGCTAAAGTTGACAACCTCCAAAACAGTCGTATGGGTCAACCTCATCTGAAAGTACAACCTCCAAAGAAGGACAACCGTAAAGGACAACCTCCAAAGAAGGACACCCGTAAAGGACAACCTCCAAAGAAGGGCATCCGTAAAATACAACCTCCAAAGAAGGACAACCGTAAAGGACAACCTACAAAAAAGGACGCCCGTAAAGGACAACCTCCAATGAAGGACACCAACATTGGCGACCGGGTCGCCCAGCTTCGTCGTTGCTCGGAACAGTATTTGGGTCTGTCTCATCTGATCGCATCAACACTGCCAGGGTTCTTCCTTTTCAGGACTTTTTGGTGGCGAACAACGTAACCCCGCCCCCCCCCCCTTCCCCTCCCCCACCCCCAATGAATACCACGACACAACCGCTGCAAAAATAAAATCTATTCCAAATGAAAAAACTCACAGTGCGGCACCAGGCACTTGAATCAGTAGCTTAGGCTGCGAAGTTGTAAAAAAGGGACATATGATAGTAATAATTTCCAGTATGCGGCGTCCGTGGCTTATGCGTTGAGCGATCAAAACCTCTAGCTGGCTGCGTGGATTTTTATCATGGTAGGGGACGTCGCAGGTCGACCCAGCCTAAAATGGGTACAAGGATGTCTGTCCTGGGGAAGAAAAGACGGCCTGCGTAATGCTGACCACATTACCCACCTAGTGCCGATCGGTCTGTACAAATATGGGTGCTCTTCCTATATGCCCGATGCCCCTAAACGGCGTAAAAGGGGATCTTTTATTTTAAAAAAAAAATTATTTTCAGGGACTGAAGAGCTAACTATACGTCATCTGTCCTAGGTTTTGCACTCTGGGGTGCTTCCTACATGGGCTGGATTAACCGAGAGATCGGAATGTTTAGCTGTTGTGTGTTCAGTGCCCTTATCTCTGCCGTTGACCCTGTGGCTGTATTGGCAATATTTGAGGAGATCCAAGTGAACGAGATACTCTACATCATCGTTTTTCGGAGAGTCCCTGCTTAACGACGGAGTCACAGTGGTTAGTATTTTGTTTACTTCGTTGATTCCTCTTAAAAGATTGGCTAATGTAGGTGCATTATAGTTTCTTCTTCTTCTTCTTCTACTTCTTCTTTTTCATTATCTAGTCTTATTCGGAGAGGTCTTCCTCTTCTTCTTGCTTCTTCTTCTTCTTTCTTTCTTTCTAACGATTCTTCGGCTTCTTCTTCTTGTTCTCAGTCTTCTTCTTGCTTCTTCTGCTCTTCTTCTCTTGGCTAATCTATTTGAGGACGATTCTTCTTAGTCCTCTTCTTCTTCTCTTCTAACTTCTGTCAGTGTTCTGAGGGAGGAGTCTTCTTCTTCTTCTTCTGCAACTTACTTCTGAGCAACAGTGGTTAGTACTTCTTTCTTCTTCTTCTTCTTCAGTATTCTTCTTCTTCTTCTTCTTCTTCTTCTTCTTCTTGCTTCTTCTTCTTCTTCTCTTCTTCTTCTTCTTTTATTCCTCTTCTTTTTCTTCTGGATTCTCTTCTTCTTCTTCGTCTTCTTCTCTCTTCTTCTTATTCTTCTTCTTCTTCTTCTTTTTCTTCTTCTCTTCTTATTCTTCTTCTTTCTTCTTCTTCTTTTTCTTCTCTTTTCTTCTTCTTCTTCTTCTTCTTCTTTCTTCTTCTTCTTCGTATTCTTCTTCTTCTTCTTCTTCTTCTTCTTCTTCTTCTTCTTCTTTTTCATATTTATCTTCTGGGTTCTTCCTTTAAATCTAATTTCTGACATGTATTGTAGTTAACATCTAGGCATCTATGCCTGCTGCTTACGGTCCGGCACATCCGATTGCAGCAAAGCCATGATTAGTAGCCTTATAAGACATGTTTACCAAGAAGACAGTGGGAATCTCCACCCCCCCCCCCCCCCACACTTAGGACCCACACAGGAGAGTTCTTTTTTTACACATTAGCGTATTCTACACATGTGAAGCAATATGGGTGTAGTTTTATAAAGTCTACGAAAATGTGAGATTGTGTTGATGTTGGGGTAGTATCCTAACTGACCACAAGAGCCTAACGGGTAGAATTTTAGGGTAGCTGCGGGTCTATCTATCTTCTTTTACCCCACCAGGACATCACACAAGCGATAAACACCAGATGATACAAAGTGCCACTATGCGGATGAGGATCACCCGTGGAGAGGTCCCAGAAACCGCGTCCAGTCATTATTAATGGCCTGGCATTCTTGCGGCCCCTGGCAAGAGCCAGAGTAGGGCTTCAAATAACGAAAAATTGCATCTCACAAAGAGATGACAAGATGAATATATAGCTGCTGCGGGTGTCATGTCTTGCTAGGTTAGTGGTTGCATATATGTTTTATACTGATGGATTAAATTTCTGACAGGTCGTGTATCGTATGAAGTTGTTTCTACAGGTTACACTCAATGATTACTTCCTTTTCTGACAGGTCGTATATCGTGTGATTGGTGTTTTTATAGGGTACACTCAATTATTAGTTCCTTTTCTGACAGGTCGCGTATCGTATGATTGGTGTTTTTTACAGACTGCAGTCAATAATTACTTTCCTTACTGACAGGTCGTGTATCATATGATTGGTGTTTTTATAGGTTACACTCAATGATTACTTTCTTTTCTGACAGGTCGCGTATCGTATGATTTGTGTTTTTATAGGTTACACTCAGTGATTACTTTCCTTTCTGGCAGGTCGTGTATCGTATGAGGTCGTTTCTACAGGTTACACTCAATGATTACTTCCTTTTCTGACAGGTCGCATATCGTATGATTGGTGTTTTTTTACAGACGTAGTCATATGATTACTTTTTGTAGCCCCACTCTGGCTTTTGTATGATTGCCGCAATATAGGCAGGCCATCAATATGGCCAATTGTCTGAACGCGGTTTTCTGGGACCTCTCCCACACGTTATCCTCAACCACATGGTGGCACTTTGTTTCATCGGGTCGTTTGTCGCTTCGTGTGATGTCCTAGGGGGTAGAAATGTCAGTCATCAGTCGTTTACACTCAATGATTACTTCTTTTTACAGGACAATCGCGTATCGTATGATTGGTGTTTTTTGACAGACTGCAGTCAATGATTACTTACCACAGGTTCCTTCTGACAGGTGGTGTATCGTTCATGATTGGTGTTTTATAAGGTTACACTCAATGATGGCTTTCTTTTCTGACGCGGTCGCGTATCGGATGATGATTTGTGTTTTATAGTTAGGTTATCACTCATGATTACATTCCTTTCTGACAGGTCGCGTATGTTCATGTTGGTGTTTTTTACAGACTGCAGTCAATGATTAGTCCTTTTTGACAGGTCGTGTATCGTATGATTTGTGTTTTTATAGGTTTACACTCAATGATTACTTTCCTTTTCTGACAGGTCGCGTATCGTATGGTTGGTGTTTTTTACAGACTGCAGTCAATGATTACTTTCCTTTTTGACAGGTGGTGTATCGTATGATTTGTGTTTTTATAGGTTACACTCAATGAATACTTTCTTTTCTGACAGGTCGTGTATCGTATGATTGGTGTTTTTACAGACTGCAGTCAATGATTACTTTCCTTTTTGACAGGTCGTGTATCGTATGATTTGTGTTTTTATAGGTTACACTCAATGACTTCTTCCCTTTCTGGCAGGTCATCTATCATCTATCGTAGGATGCAGTTTTTACAGGCTGCTGTCAATGATTACTTTCTTTTTTTGACAGGTCATGTATCGTATGATGGGTGTTTTTACAGGCTGCTGTCAATGATTACTTTCTTTTTTTGACAGGTCATGTATCGTATGATGGTCGGGTTTACTGCCATCGGCGACCACGACGTGGAAGCAGTGGACTACGGTGCGGGAATTGTACAATTCTTTGTGGTTATTGTTGGCGGGACCATGATCGGCATAGTGGTTGGTATCATCGGCGTCATCATTACCAAGTACACAGACCATGTTCGAATCTTGGAACCACTCTTCGTTTTTGTCATCTGTTATATTGGCTACCTGAGCTCGGAAATTATTGGACTCTCTAGCATTTTAGCGTAAGTATTGGCACCACATGGGGCATTATTTCTGGCAGGACGCAAAAGTACAGCACTTTTTTTGAATTTATGTTAATTTATTTATTTTTATTTATGTATGTGCTGATGAAGGCTCCATAGCTGCTAACGTTCACATTTTGTTTGTTTTCATTATATTGTGAAGCCCTCTGATATACTTTTCGCTCGGCTATATATCTTTTCTTGATATTTTTTTTTATGCGTCAAAGTTTTTTGTTTTGTTTTTCAGCGTTACTGTAATAGACACTTTGTGGTGAGCATTGGCATACACTTTGTGGTGAGCACAAAAAACAGAGGGGTTTTATTCCCCCCCCCCCCCCCCAGAGGACATCATTGGACAGTCCAACATTCTAAAGGGTGGTAAGACCTTTCTGATGCTTTTAACGACAACAAAACATCTAGAACTGGCCCTAACCCCAACCCACCTTAGTCCCACGAGAGAGTGCAGCCTAGATCCCACGAATACATGCAGCCGAGGTACCACGACTGCGTGCAGCCTATCTACCACCCCCCTGAAATATTAGACTGTCCCGTGACCTGCGGATTTCCCTTGTTGAGGTAGGATACTAACAACGCACCAAAAAAAATGATCGTCTTTACTTTCAGGTACCCATTGTGTCAGCCTAGGAGCCAATGTCATTTCTGGAAAGAAAATAAAAAGTCCAGCTTTCTTCGAACTCGAACCCATGATCTTTGGATCCGCAGGCAAGCTGCTAGCTGCTACATCCACGATGGCCACAAATAGCCCAGCTGAGCGTTAATTTTCTCAGCCGAATCAATGGAAAAACCCAACCAGCACAACCGTAGACAAATATTCTAAGTTTTCTCCTTTGTGCTCACCGGCTGTAAACTCCGGCTGAAAGTTCTGGTTGTTCGTCCACTTCCAGACGTTATCCTTGTTTCAGAACTTGAGTTTTGCGTGCACATACATTTTACAGATCTGGCTTATTTGTATGCAGACTGTTGGTTCCTTACATCTCAGGCAGATACACTCCAACTTCTAAGGAAACCCCTAATTACTACTTGCTTTCTAGGGAGGCAGAGGGGTCTGTCCTTCCCTCACATCCCATTTTTTACGCAATGGGATCTCGGTACCGACAAGTGAAAAATAACCTTTAAAAAAAATCAAGCAGAAGTATACTATTCTTTTATGGTTCATATTTTTGTATTGGCGTTCGCCAGCCTATCACA